AATATTAATTATCCGTATCTGTAACTGGAAAATGGATATAAATAAATGAATAAAAATTATTTATAAAACTATTCATTACCTTAGCATAGAATAACATTAACTAAATTGACATGTGAAGAAGCCTGAGATGACATACGGATTATTGCTTTCTATACATAAATTTAAAGGTAGTAGTAATATTACTTACTACATGACAAAAGGCCAAGGAAGATATGCTGCTAAACAAGTTTTCAAGTGATAATTTGCAAATACTGCTTGAAATAATCTATGTAAACTTCTGCGCTTCTGTACTGAAGTTGTTTTGAAGAAAAAAGAATTCAAGTTGTACAACAATAAATTTAGCGTACAGACAAAAGCCTAAGGAAAGCTACAACAAGGTAATTAACCTTGATGAATTTTCCTTGCATTCTCAGCAGGCAAGCCAAAGAGAAAAGCAAATAGAAACTGGCAGTTATATATTTGGCCAAGACATAAACAACTGCGAAGGCAGGTTGGCATGTTCTACACTTTATTTTGATAGAAATTATCATTTATAAGAAAGTTTGCAGTGGCTAGTTAGAATTTTTGGCAATAGTTAAAGGTGGAATTCAAAAATGTATTTAAGTTTAAAATATAGGTAAATAATTCTTATTAGCCATGACACTGGTATGAATAATCATAAAATAATACATATTAATGAAATGCATTATTCTATAAAATTGGCAAATTTTTATCAAATTGAACATATGGCATAAGGACTGTTTCACAGCCATTGGCATTCAGACAAATCAGCCATCAATAAATACATAGAAATAAACTATATTTACTGACCATTCAAGAGACAACAAAAAGCTAAGGAAACTAAAAGACCAGAACATATTTTCTTCAGCAGCCTACACCCAGATAAGCAGGGATTAAACCAGACAAGCAATCAAGCTGAAAACAATATCCTAATCAAAGAACCACCAAGGGGGAAAAAAAAAACACCACCCTCACCAAAACTGGCAGGGCAAGCTACTGTATATAAACAGGGAGCAAACACGTCCTTGCTGGCACTAATTAAGTTAACTTATGGCTAATGAAACTTCTGCAAACTAACTAAACTCAGAGAATACCAAGAACTTCATAGTTCAACCATGTGCTACATATAATTTTTAATTTTTTACTCCATTTACTTAGTAATGCAGATACTAAATACTTTTCACATCTGTGGATAAAATAGTTTAAGATACAGACGTGGAATAGTTTTAAGCTCCTGGCCTGCAGGTTGACAAATGATAAAATTACTAGTTTCAGATACAAGGCAACATCACAGCAAATTTCAAAGGTATCTGGATCTTTTCCAAAATTCTACTTCCAGATTAGAGAATCAGCAACAAGAAAGTTTATAAAGTAGGCTCAAATTCATTGATTCCAGATTTTCATTCCTAATTCTCTAAATGCCATTAATCTTGGTACATAAACTGCTTTCCTTCACAACAAAGGAAAGACCACAGCCTAGTCTGTTCTCTGTCTTGTTCTTCAAGGATCATCAGGTGGCCTTGGTTTGCCTGCTCCTTTGAATTTTTGTTCCTTCTCTAATGCTTATGACGTGCAAATCATCATACATGGCGCTCTCCACAATACCAACTATTTGGTAGGTTTTTGAGGACCGAAGTACTGGAGATTTTATATTTAGGATGATAAAGTTCTCAAAAATATAACTATATATTTATATAGCAATGCTACTGTCTCATGTATCCCTTAAGATACATAAATGTCACCATTAAATTCCTAGGTATCTGCAATATTTGTAGTCTTGAAATTTGAATCAAAATGAAGATAGTAATTTATGAAAGAATACTGTACCATCTTATTTATAGTAAAAAGCCAATTTTTAAAAAATTGGAATCTCAAAAATAGGTATTAAGAATCAGGTTATCCCACCTAGAAAAACCATCACATCATCATTATCACTGTGCCATGCAGAACGGGCACAACCTCTAGGCCTTAATTAAAGTTTTTGAAAATCCAGTTCAACAAAAAAAGATGGCAGATTTAAAGGAACTAACCTTCTGGTTATTAGAAAAATATGAAATAAAGATAACTATGCTAGAAATTAACTATATTTCAAAATTAGCATAATCTCTACCAGGCCAAATTAAATGTTACAAACAGCGTACTATGTAAGTTTTCAATTTTTTTAAAATGCTTTGTTTTGCATAAACAATGGAATATCATTTAGTAATAGTTTAACTAATAGTTTCATTTAATAGATGAAAAGAGAGTACAGGTTTTGAGTCTATTATTAATTTATTAAACTTACATCCCTACTACAAAAACAGTGCTCATATTTTTGTTAATTTTTTTTTCTTCATTTTTTCTATATAGAGTACAACATATCAAATAATATTAAAAATATTAATAGTTCTTTAATGCCTTATAACTGTTTTGATCAATCTAAAAAGGGAAAATAAACTGGCCCAATGCCAATAACATATTGTTTTAAAAATTATTGAATATTTCCTCATTTCTATGTTGTGGATAGCTTAAAAACCAAAATGTATAAATTAATTAAAAATTTCAGATTTCTGTAGATTTAAAATTCTAAATTATTCCTAAAACATTAAAGTAGTACCTCAGTATTCATCCTTAATTTGTTCCAGGAGGCACAAGTATTAAAAAAGACGAGTACCAAACAAACCATGTGACTAAGCATGTGACTGTTTGTTTCAGCTAGGAAGGACTTTCTATCTGTCCTTTTCCTATGTCAGCATCCCTCCCAGCATGGCTGACTTCTTGTCCCCTATCCTTTTGTACCAAACAATGAGTACCAGGATAACATTTCCATGTCAAACTGAGTCAAGTACCAAATTCCATGAGTTTTGAAGCAGTCAAATACAGAGGTATCACTGTATCAATATTTCTTATTGTTGAAAATTTGTATCTTACTACAATGATAAGATAGCAAAGTAAATATAATAAAATACAGAAACATACGGATAAGATAAAGCCCAAGCAGAGTTTATGGCCTGTTGTAGGAGAACTCTCCAAAAATTCTCTTTTTAGATCTCCTGAAAGGTGAACCATGTTGGAGACAGATGAATCTCCAATGGGTGACATTTCAGAGGGCTAACCTATCTCTGAAAAACAACACTCCTGAGCTCTGAAAGAACAGAGGCAATCTATTGCTTTTCCTAAAAGTTTTGTATTTATAAGCAACAGGTAACACTAAAAACAACTGTGGAAATTTAGCAAACCATCCAAATAACTTTCGGCATCCCTCAATGCTTTGACTGTGGGTTTTGATCTGCAGTCACCCAAGATTCTGATTTGGATGCCATACATAAATTGTGATAAGGCAAATAAAATAATGAAAATAAAGTTTTTTTAAATTATTTTTTCTAAATAAAAATGATAAAAGGTACCATGATCTCAATAAGGCATAGGTGTTGTACATTTAGAAAAGGAAATCCATCCCTGAAAAAATGCTATTTCAAATGCAGGCATTATTGCATTTAAATTGCTATAACTCTATACATCATTATGATTAGGTCTATATGCAGTTTTGAAAAGCATTATAAATTGATAAACTATAAGTTATCATTTATCTTATTATAACTAATTTTATTTTTAATTTTCCCAGAAATTTCCTCTATGAGATGGAATTTTTTGTCAGTAAGATACAAAACAAAAGATAATTAGAACAGAGTTGCAAAGGGAATAATTATCCCAAATCAAAATTCATTTACAACTTTCCAAAAACATTTAAAAACCTCAAATATTGTATAGAACGCTATTTACACCAAAGCTAGAAAGCCTGGTACATCCAGATGGTTTATACTTCAATTCCCATTGGCATGGCTAATGGAATGCGACAGAAACCTACTATCCAAAACATCTGGAGGACATCACACAGTGTTTAGGAGTAAACTAGCTTTTTTATGTACTATATACATATTACTTGTAGATAATAGTCTTATCCACAAATAATAAGGTTTAATAGCCTTACTATTAAAAAGTACTAGGTATTATTTAAAGCAGGCATACCTAACCCCCGGTCCTTGGACTGACACCAGGCCATAGCATGCCAGAAAGCAGGCTGCACAAACACGCCCCATCCATAGGAAGCAGGCAGCATGCGAAACCATACCCTCCCCCCCGGGCCATGGAAAAACCTCTCTCCACAGAAGGTTGGGGGGGGGGGTGTACTGATTTAAAGTATCTTTCTACTTACATTTTTCCAACTAACTTAATTTGATGTGCTACAGTACAAAATGCCTCTACTGCTTCTATGTGAAGATTTTTCTAGAATGGGGTACAGCCTTGCTTTGCAATGGAACTTTGAGCTGCTTGTGGTCGTAAGTTGAGGATTATTGTAGACTCTCGGTTCAATTTGCTGTCCTTTGTATCATACCTGTCTTTCAAGCAAATAGAATTATTTCCATGAATGAATGTATAAGATGCTGAAAACATTTTTTTATATCTACATTCTGAGCATATGTAATTGGCTATTTTAAAAATGATAAATATAACCATACATAAAATTTGACTTGGCTTTCAACTAACTGCCCTATTTATTGTAGTCTGATAAGTTCTTCATTTATGTTCCTAATATAAAAAATCTGTATTAAAATACAAGAGGGCATCTCATGGCAAAAAATAACTCCATAAAGAAGCCAAGCAAAGAAATTCTAACAACAAGGGACTGGTTTCAGGTGGAAAACCTGATTATTTTACTTCTTTTGCCACAGTTGTTAAGCAAATCACTGCAAGTTAAGTGAATCATGTGGTTAAGTAAAATCTAACTTTCCCCATTGATTTTGCTTGTCAGAAGCCAGCCTGGAAGGTTACAAATTATAATCGTACAACATAGGAACACTGCAACTGTCATAAATACATGACGGTTGTCAAGCTCCTTGATCATGTGACCATGAGGATACTGCAGCAGTCATAAGTGTGAAAAACAGCCATGTCACTTCTTCCAGTGCTGTTATAACTTCGAATGGTCACTAAGTGAATGCTTGTAAGTCAAGGATTACCTGTACTTCACATTCCAATTCATCTAATAGTATCACCTTCTTTCAATCTTCTCTGCTTCCCTATAAACAGAACAAAGGCCTTCTCAGAGCAGATTCTAAACCACAGAGATTGATTGAGATTAACAGTGGTTCTTATGTCAGATTGTAATATTAACACTACAATTATTCATAGATACTGTGCCCTTACCACACTGGGACCTATGAATCAACAGACAATACCAGCTTTTGCTTTTATCCACAAATCACTAAGTATATCATAACCTCTGAAAAAGTATTAAGCAGGGAATGTATTAGCTGTCAACTAATACATTTAGTTGCATTGTACTGTAGCAAGAAAAGCAAGTTACAAGGTACACTAGATCTGTAAATATTTTTCAATAATAACATGTGATGCAATCTCCAAACTATTTTTATTGAAAAATAGGATAAACATAGTTCAAGTAAATAACTACATTCAGTTTCCGAGTTTTCAGAGTCCAAAGTTTTAGAATTTTCATCAGTGTTTTAAACCAGATATACAACCTTTTGGATTGCCTGGGCTGCACTGAGTGAAGAGGAATATCTTGGGCCACAAATAAAATATACAGTATAATAGTTAATGTATATAAAAAACAAACTTCCTTTAAAAGTCTTGTGGGCTTCATTACTAAATATCTAAGATCAACGGATGGACATACCTGTTTTGAACAGTTTAAATTTTCAGGCATGAAATGGTCTGAAAAAAGTACGCCTGTATTTAAAACGGAACTAATAATTTTATTCTCAAAATACGTTCAGTTTATAAAAAGTTAAAATTCAGCATAAATTTTAAAAGAAAGTATTTTAACAAACATTTGCTTTATATAATGTCTCAGGACACCTACAAGTGTATTATTTAGCAATAATAAATTTTAGAATGATACACAATTTTTATACAGTTTTTTTTGGGGGGTATCATTAAATTATTTTATAAAAATAATACAGTAACCATGCCTATGATTTTCATTACAGGAAAATTACAAGTGATATGTTTCCTGGAAAAATACACAGAAATATTTACGGTTGTAAATAAAAAAAGGAAAAAAATCCAGGCTTTCTTACAATCATTTATATACCACAGATTTTCAAAAATATAAAGCAGACTAATTTAGAACATTTAAGTTTTCCAAATACACAGAAATCTCAGATAGCAATAATATCAGTGATTCCCTCTCCCTCATTTTAAAAACTTCTTTAAAACTATACTTCTTTAAAGAGTTGTTCTCCTCTTAATATAATGGAAAATTAAATATAGTACTATATGACATATAAACAATATTTAACAAAGGTTGGATACCATGTTTAGGGGTATTTGACCTGGATTAGTACAGTAAGTACTTTCAGAAAGCTATTTTCTTTACAGAATGACTGGCTGTACCACACTAAACCACAAACTAGATGACATTTAGCCTAGTTTGTCCACACATGTATAGTTTAACAGTTTGCCATCAATCCCTTGTAATTAAACCATTTTCAAAAGTCTAGTTTCTTAGTGTAGCTAATTTATCTGATTAAATAATTTTACATCTATTTTCTTAATCCTCACTAAAATAACAAACTGATACAATATATAAGTTCTTTTTCTTATAACTGTCTAAAGTATTTCACTTTCTAGTTTTCAAATTTTTATTTATATTTATATCCCACCCTTTATTATTAATTACAAATAAGGCGATGAACATATCCAAATCACTTTCCTCCTCCTTTTTTCCATACCAACAGCAACCCTGTGAGGTTAGCTGGGCTGAAACTGAATGACTGGCCCAAGGTCATCCAGCTGACTTTCATGCCTAAAGTGGGAGTAGAACTCAAGGTTTCTAGCTCCTCTCCATCTTTCTAGCCTCATACCTTAATCACATACCTTGTTTTATTGTGCCTTGCTTAATTGAGCTTTAAATATACTGCATTATTTTTTATCAAGATGCTCCACCAATAAAAAATGTTACTATTCACTGAAGGCTCCAACAATGCTCAGATGGCATTTTTAGCAAGAGTATTTTAAATTAATTTAGTTAAGGTATGTACTTTGCTTTTTAGATACAATATTATTATACACTAGACTACAGTATTCATTCATTCATTCATTCATAAATAAAATGTATTGGCTGCTCATCTTACTGTAAGGTAATTCTATGTGCTTAGTCATAAAAGTATATACATATCCATAAGCCTGATGATGGCAGATGAGATTCTGCTGAAACATTGCTACAACTTTAAAAGCACAACTACAATGACGTGGGAAAATACCCGAACAAAGCTGAATGCCATACCTGTAAGTACCCGTGAAAACTTAAGAAAACAAATATCCATAAGTTGTCTATACATACACAATTTAGATTTACATAAATCAAAATCAAATATTAGTGGGGAGAACAGGGGAACATTGCAAGGAGTGGGATCTGTTATCAACCACTTCCATGGGCTATTCCCCCTCTGGGGCCCCAAGGCAAAAGTCAGGGACATGCCTATAAGCCCTTATGAAAGCATAGAAGAGTTGGGGCCAAACTTACATCAGGGAGGGGAAGGGGAGATGTTCCAGAGGGCAGGAGCAACAGCCTGGATCCTGCCAGCTGAAATAATCGGGCCGACAGGACCCGCAGGATGCCTTTCTCTGCCAGCATGAGTGGTACAAGCCAATCCCAGTGGAATGAGACAGTCCCTCCAGTATCCATGCCATGAAGGGCTTTAAAGAGGATCACCAACAATTTGAACTGCACCCAGAAGCAGACTGGCAACCAATGCAGCTCGTGGAGCAGTGGTATTACAGGGGCCATTCTTGGGTCTGCCAAAACTGCCTGTGCCACAGCACTCTGCACCAGCTGTAGCTGCAGAATGCTCAAGGGTAGCCCCATATAGAATGCAATGCAATAATCCAACTGTGCAGTGTAAAAATAACTTTTATATGCACTGCAAAAACAAAACAATTCATGTGACTCAGTTTGTTGTGATGTAGGGAACCTCTGACCTAAATATATCTTCTAACCAGCCACATTCAAAAATTTTTTATATTCATTATGCCCTTTAGTCTCCCAAGTACAAAGGAGGCTGGATGTGTTTGAAAGAATGAGAATACCAAGATGAAAATGTCTTCCTTCTGTATACCGAAAAAAATGTCATATTTTCCTGCTTTGGCCATCCATTACATTTGAATACAGAATCTCCTAGGTGTTTTGAACAAGACGTCATCATTATGACAAGAAAAGTTCTCTCCCATGTCCAATTTTGATACTGATGTAAATATTGCATCAATTTATAATGGAATAATTATACCAATCTATTGGTTGCAAACCCAAGCACTTCTGTAAGTAGATCATTAAAGTTTCACTCTGACTAAAAAACAACTGCAATACATCCAGGATACAGAACAAGGGTCTATGAATGAACATTAATGTTAATAGTATCAATATCAGCATTAGCCTGCACTTCATGATTCAGGAAAAAAAGATTATATTCAAACAAAAAGTATTTCAGTGCGTTTCCTTTAAATATTCTTATTCCTGACCAAATGAGAAAATCCCCATAAAACTGGACAACATCAATAACTCGCTTGAATTATATAATCCCTGAGATATGATCATATGACAAGATACCTCACTATTACTAAGCAGAAACACCAAAGTTTTTCTTCCTGAGCAGCTCCCATTTTTTTCCTTTCCTCCAACAAGCCCATCCTTCCAAGAATGGGCATGCATTTTGGGTGTGTGCGGATGCATCATATATACACTGCTCTGGTTGAAGTACCTTTTTGTCTTCCATGGAAGGCAGGTTGAAACAGTCCCTCAGGCGGAGGAGACAACCATCTATCTGCCCTTTACAAAGAGCAGGGTTCGAGGAGAGTTTTCATTCCACCACTTGAGGCCTGTCCAAAGGCATCCAAGAGACCCTCCACACACGATCAGGGTCCCAGGAAGACAAGCTTCGCCCAGCAAGATCAGAAGGGCTGAGCTTTCTTCCTGCAGATGCTCCCCGTTTTTAATCCTCCCTCTTTCAACGAGACAGGTTGCTGTCGTTTCCCGCCCTCCATATAATATGTATGTATGTATATTTACTCTCCTCACAACAACGGAAGGGCGGACGGACATCTTCATCCAAGCAACTACCGACCCGTATTCACCCTTTGCACCCCCTACCTAAATCCTCCTTTCAGGTGCTAGAAGCTGCTTCTCCCCTTGCAAAGGTTTGAGCACCTGCAGGAAAAAAGAGGGGAGATTCCTCCAGTGTGCTGGAGGACAAGTCGCTTCCCCCCCCCCCCCACTTTCTCTCGCGGCGCCCATAGAAGGGCTAGGCCCGAATGCACCGAGCCCTCCGATGCTGGAACCCCACTTACGCATACAGGTCGACGTAACCTCTGTGGGGTGGTCAGGCCTTACGCAAATCTACCAGTGACCTCCCCCTCCGGGCATTGCCTTAACGACACCCGAAGAGACAGAGGAAGGGGGCCTCTTCCGCCACATTACCTCACTTCTCGCTTTCACCTGACCCGCGAAGCCTCTAGGACTCCCGAGCAGGTTCCCCCGTCGCTCCTGCCGGAAGTACGTGCCGGAAAAGAAGCGTCCTCCTCTCTCCCTCTGTGTCTGTCTGTCTTGTCTGTCTGTCTTTCTCTCTCTCTTTCTCTCCCCCCTCCGATGCCGATGCCGCCGATGCCGATGCCACCGTTGTTACCACACACACCAGGCGTTGTCCGGAACTAAGCCGGCGATCGCATGAGCCCATGGGACGTGTAGTCCGCTTCTTAGAAAAACTACAGGTCCCGAAAAGCCTTGCGCGGACTCGGGCAAAAAGAAAACGGGGCGGGAAGGGGAAGAAGGGGAGAAAAAGAGGCCGCGGCAAAGGCGAGCGGGAGGCGGGGGAGGAGCCGGAGAGAGAGGAGACCAATTAGAAGCCAGAGTCGGAGTGGTGGGCGAGGCTTTGACCGTATTAGGAAGAAAGGGGCGGGGCGAGGAAGAAAAGGATGGGCGGTGGGGAGTAAAACTCTTCGGGCGCTACAAGACGCGACAGAAGCGATCCTGGAGGCGGCGGTCTTGCTTTTCACAGAGTTTCAGCGCAAGGAACGGGTTGAGGTGGACGGCTTCGGCTGCCCCACCTCTGAAGCCCTTTGCGACTTCCCCTCAGAGGGTTTCCTTCGGACAGGTAAGCGCCGCCAGCAGCTCCTGCACCAGCACAGCTCCTCCTGGGTGCCTTGGTTTGCGGTGAAGCAGCTCCGGTTGGGGAACGCCGGAGCGCCCACCTCGCGTTGTGCAGCTTTTAAAAGGGGGATCCTTTTCAAAATAAATAAATAAAATTAAATCCCATCGCTTGGTAAACGAAGTACATGTGTCCTTTAGGAAAGATTTCCGCTTATTCACAAAAAAAGAAAGAAAAAAAACCACAATCTTTTTTTAAAAAAAAATCTCAGAATCTTCTATTTCAGCAGAATAAATGGCTCCAAATATATTTAGGGAAAGAGGAAAAAAATCCCCATTGAAATCTTGGGGAAATTCTCTATCACTTGATCATGATATTCTTTTTGGTTTGATTCTTCTTTGTTTCTGCCTTTCTGCTAGGTATCCAGGTATTGCTAGATCTTTTCCTATATATGTTGCATGAATTCCTCCCAGCAAGGCTTGATGCTTTTTCCTGACATTTTTACAAATACCTGTTTTCACTAGATGATGGGACACAATTAGGTTTTTAACTGAAGACCCTGTGAGTTTCATTCCTTCTCTTTTCCCTCGCATGTGTCCTTTGCCAGAGCATCCTAAACAATTGTAGCACCAGAGCAGAACTTTAAAATGCATGCTTTTAGTACTGAGGATTGGCCTTTATGGGTTAATATAAAGATAAATGGTGCTTATTGTTTCCTGTAACATTAATAGGAGTTGCAGTTAGTACAATAAATCCCTTGAAAGTTTTATGTTGATTGTCTGACCGTTAACATGATCCTTTGTGAATTGTGTATCTCCCTCTGTATTAGAACAATATTTAATGTATTGAAGACATTGGGAATGTTGTCATTGTTTTCATGTGAACTGAAAGGTAAATATCTTGTTTTAAAAAGTGGGGAAAAATGACCTGCCAGTTATCAATATGTGGATGAAGAAATAATTTTTGAGTCTTTCTGATTAGCACTGGTTAGTTTAATCTTAAATGAATTGCATAGTATTGGTATCTGGGTAAATCTGTGCAGTGACTACTCTGCGCAATAAGATATTCCAGAAACATTTCTTGAGAAGATCATTCAGTCTCTTCACTTCAATTAACTCTGCTTACTTCAACGAAGAATGTAGAAATGCCTAACTGTCTTTTTGTGATCTGTATGAATAAGACTTCAGCTCTGTAAAGAACAACAATCTAGTCTGGCCCTATACCAGGGAATTTATTTTCTTCTATCCATAGAGTGTTGTCAGATTGATCTGAGTACCTGGTTCTTTTTCTAAACAAATATTGTCTCCTTAACATGTTGCAATTCACATTTCCCCCTCCGCATATAATAACAGTTAATAAAAATGGATCTTAATATTATGCTATGCAAATTTAATTTATGGACTGTAAAAGAAATATGTAGAAGGGAAAGATGTTTTTCAGATTGTTAAATGCCGGGATGACATTTTATATTAGTTCATTTTAAATTCTTATCTGTTTTCTAGGTGTCTAGAAAAGCAGGTGCAGGAATGTATGTATCCCTGATTATTTACTTCCAAATTGAAGTTCTGCCAAAATAAAATTACCATCTGGCTTATTTGTCTTTACATGACAATAAAGCTTCATTTTGGGATTTAGTTTCAGTGGGAATACCTATAAAATAAACCATATAATCCTGAAAATATTTACTTATAAAGAAATATTTCTAAAGTCTATGACATGGCCACTTATGGGTATATTTATTACTGCATAAAAAGAAAAAAAGATATATACTTAATTACTTAGTGCAAATATATAGTGCAATTTTAAAATAACTGATTTGTGAATTAAAACATTTCCTTCTAAGCATTTGGGCTTTCTGTGACTATGTAATTGCTTATGTGATATGATGTGATCCATATTTCTATTCCTTCTAAGCATTTGGGCTTTCTGTGACTATGTAATTGCTTATGTGATATGATGTGATCCAAATTTCTATTCCAAGCTTTGCATATAATTTAAGTCTATAGGTTTAATATAATTTTTATATGTGGTTTAGATAATGGTCTTTATAGTTCATCTCATGAGTGTCATGCCATTGATCTTTCATTCCCAAGAATTTGATGAAACTAGCATCTACATCAGTGCCAAATAAATCATATTATGGCTTGTCTCAAGAATGGACTACTGATTTGATTTGGAATTCATTAAACAACCACATCCGTTTTCAGAATCACATAGCTGTTTTAATAAGCCACAGAAAAATATTGTGTTCACAATCTTAGACATTCTGAAATAGTTTTTTCTAAATAAATATGAAGCTTTATGTATTCATATTTTATCCAGATATTAAGCTAAATCTATGTCCTAATTAAAACAATCTTTTTTTAGATTTTTTTAAAAATCTCACCATTATTACTTTATAAGTAACTCAAGATCAAGATGGAGAATATACATTGTTCTCCTTCCTCCTCATATTTTTTCTACAACAACAATGCTGTGAGGTGAGTTGGGCTGACCGAGTGACTGGTCCCAAATTTATCCAGCTGGCTTGCATGCTTATCATGGGACTAGAACTCACAATGTCCTGATTTCTAGGCTGGTATTTTAACCTCTAGACCAAACTGGCTCTTAATTATAGCTCAGCCAGGATATAACCACTAACTGATCAATTTAGATTTGCACCTATAATGAGAAGCACTGTTTTCCTTTTCATATTGGACACGGGGAAGCTTTGCTTTCTGTATGTCAGTGTACTGTGGATCTCATAATGTGGCAGGAAGATTTACAGCCTGGAGTTTTAAGATCATCAGTTTTTCCTCTTCTGTTATCTTTTCTTCCCTTGCTGAATGGAATGGCTAGGGGAAAGCAAAGTACCGGTACTTTACAAGAGATCTGAACAGATTATTTGTAGAGGTATTTTGAAACTAACCTGAGAGCCGCATGCAATTTGAAACCACAGGTTGCTCTATACCATTTTTAATGAAGTTCACATATACTTTATGCAGCAAGGCAGGTTGCCCTTCATAACAACAGGAAATGTTTTCTTTTAAATGGAAGTCTCATTTTAAATGGAAGCATCATTCTTTTTTTTTTAAGCCTTGTAACCATTTTAAAAAAACAAAGCCTCTGTTGTTAAAGGAAATATTTATAATTAACTTATAAGCTAAGACTTTGAAACTTCAGGTTAAACAATCTGTAATTTCCCAGAACTTATTCATTCTGTGTCTGCTTTCTTGTAAGCTATTATTTAGTTATTACTGTGAAATAGGCTGCAAGAGTTCACCTATCATGCTGAACCTTGGCTTTTTCATGATCATAGTTGTTTGGATCCATCCGGAAAACTAAGACAAATCATTTGTGAAGAGTATGCAGGAAAACTAACTTTTCTGTCCTAGAATTGTGGCTCAGGCTGATATCCATTTGAATCTTAGATTCAGAGACTAACCAAATGCATTCAAATTAGTGGCCGTCATTACACCTTTTGATAATGAATTTCACAGACTCATTTTGTGCTGTATTAAGGATATATTCCTTTTTCCCTGTTCTAAAACTTCAGCTTTATTGGAGGACCAATGTATTTAACATTTTAAAAGAGAAGGAAAAAACCCAAAGAGTTTCAATCCCCAAGTAATTCAAGTGGCACTTTGTCCAATTGTGTTGTTGATATATATTACACTTCTGTTCCCTATATCCATTGTGTGTAATTACATAGTGTAGAGGTAAAAGTAGTTACATAGAATAGAGAAAGTTTCTGTGCTCACTTTTGCAGGAGTTTGTTGCTTCACTAGATCATTGATGAGGAAAGAAATATCTGGAAGTTATGATGTACAGTGAGTTTTCTGCATAGTAGCTCCTATATAGTTTTACCTTTATCACAGATAAGGAGGAATCAAATTACAAGTATCACCTTAAGCATGTCCCCCCCCCCATTTTTTGCAGAACCAAATCTCTTTGTTAAATAGAGCTTGCTCCATCCAAAAAGCTGAGAAGACTGTAGTCAAAAATGCAAAGACTGAAGATGATTTACTTACTGTAAATGGGCAAGCATGAAAATATAAGAAATTGGCATATCCATTTCATATTACAGTTGTGGTTTCTTGAATAAACCATCAATTAGGCAGAGGTGGTTTAGTAGATCTCTCATAGTAGAGTCCATGAGAAACTTTGCTTCTGAGATTTTACTTCAGGATGTTGTCCAGTGATGTCATCAGAGCCAGTGAAACAAATCTCTTGGTCCAATTCAGTCAGCAGGGGAGCTGGCCTAAATGCAATGAATGATTTTAGTTTTCCCAAGGCTTAAAATGTCTAATTTGTTCTCTGAATTTTCTCAGACTGAAAACTTGGTTTGAATGTTTACCATGCCAATGATAGATACTATGAGGAGCAAATAGAAGAGAATGAGGGGCATAGGCTACCAGTGTCTAATTCACTCCACTAAACCACTAGATCAATAATTCCTCGATACTAATAATACTTCTCCTTATATATTTTTTCTGCTGAAGTGTAGATT